AAGAAAGGAAGGAAGGAAGAAGGAAGGAAGGAAGAAGGAAAAAAGAAAACAAAATGCTCACAGTCACCAACATTCTATCCAAATGTTCACAGTCCCCTTATTACCCTCAGCTAACACCAGAAATAGATCTGGACCTATCCGAGAATTCATGGAGAAGGTGAGATGTATTCAGGGAACAGAAAAGAGAAGCAGACAAATGTGAATATAACAGCAGATGCCTAAATCAAGCAACTGAAAGCAAGAAACCAAACTGAAGAGATTATTTGTTCGAAGTTTGTTGAGGGAACCAACTGCCTTGGTAAGAGATCAGCACAGGGGTTACCTCATGTCACAGGGAGGGAGAAGGTAGGAAGTTTCCTAGGGGACAGACAAACCCCTTCCTTCTGTCTCTGGCTCAAGGTCACATCTAATACACTAAACAGTAGACTTAGAGCTGTGTCTTTCAGTAGCAAAGGATAATTAGGCCACAATAAAACACTGTCAGTGTGTGTGTGTGGGGGGGGGGAGGCGTCACTGCTAAATGAATCAATAAACACAGAGCACAAACAATATCCATCATCATTCACAAGTTCAGCACTAAGGTGATGAGAGTGGGAAAAGCTTTTAAACTAGGAGAGAAAATTTTACAATGAGTCAAAGTATGTGAACATGCATGTTTTTAATAAGAGAAAAATACGTACATGATTTTTAAATGGGAATTTCTGCTATAAATTGTTACAGACAAGCTGGATGGGCCCCAGAAATGATTTCTGCTCTTGTTGATGCCAAGAACAGTGGAAGGCTCACTACTGCCTGATCGAATTATTTTACTTAACAACAATCAAAAGGTACATGGACCCTTTATAGCCAATATTTGTTTCACTGGCTCAGAAAGTGTTTAGACATTGGTAATAAAGTTGTATTTGGGTCTTAAAATTTATACACAAAGAGCTTTACATATTTCAAAACAACTTAAGAATTCCAGAAATTACTAGAATAATTCAATATTTCATAAGAAAACATTATTATGAAGCAAAGGTAGCTATTAATTGGAACACAGATTTTGAAAATTAGTTTGGCAATATGATTACCATATAATTTTAGAGCACTTTAATTTAATATAGTTTTATGAATATATTAATTGAAGTAATGGGTGATGAATATTACCATTAATTTTATCCCACAAAAATTTGGCTAAATGTGTTCATTAAAATAGCTCTCATAAAATCTTTACTGTTGAAAAGTCTTGGAGGGTTAAGAAAGAAACAGCAAGAGAAAGGAGAGATGCTTTTCCAGGTACTGTTCCTCTAGGAACCAAAGCTGTGAGTACAGGTAACGTTACTGCTGTGAGTACAGGGGTGGATCTGATTCGGCTCCCTGACTTGTGTTTTTCTCATCATGCTTAATTCTGTTTGCCTGTTTGGGGGTCATACCCTAGGGTGCTCGATGGCTACTCCCAGCTCTGTCTTTGGGGGTCGCTCTGTTCATACTTGGCGGGGTCCTAGTGAGAGATACAGAAGCAAAGGCAGAGCCACGACAGACTCATAAAAAAGCCAGAAGAGTCTAGGCCTAAGTTTGGGCTCCAGAATTCCTGAAATTGAGCACAGATACCTGGACGATACCCGGACAAGAACAGTGCAGTCTTCTGCCCCCGCGCCTGGGTGTTCCTCGCCGGGACCCCTTGGAGGGGATCGGGTTGAGCTTTCCTCCCCGCCCCGACCGGGCCTCCGGCAGCCGAAGACCTCCAGGACCAGCCACCACCATGCTGAGACCACTCTCCGCACACATGAAGGTACTGGCAGAGGGACAAAGCCACGCGGGTTCCGGGGCCGAGACCTCCAAGCCTACTCGGATTGGAGTCGAGCATCTTCCATCCAGATCCTCCAAATTCCAGTAGGCGGGGGTCACACCCACCACCTGGCCCCCTGGCGCCGTGTAATCCCATCAGCGGCCAAGACTCAGAGACTATAAAATCCAGTTCCCGGAACTGCGCGGCCGCATTCGCAGCCTCGCAACATCTTATCAGAACTTTTTTTTATGACATCTTATTATCTCATTCCTACTTTGGACAAACTTGCAGGCTATCGAATGTAGCCTGCCCACAGGGCAGAGTCTGGCAAACTCCCCGTGGCTACCCAATATGCCAAATACCAGTAACAATGATGGGTCTCATTCTCCTAAAGAGCCTTGAATATAATCTCAGGGCTAGGATGAAAGAGACGTTACTGGGGCCTGCTCGAGGCAATCGACAATCGACGAACCTGGAATTGAGTCATGATTTCCCCAAAGTGAGATAGCCATCGTGAGGTCATCTAAAGTTACCAATAAGATGCAGGTAGGGAATCTGCCTCCCTCCCTCTTCCCCCCAAAGTGTAACCCCCTTATGTGACCCTGTGTGACCCTTGTGTAACTTGGACTTAACAACGAATCAGCTAAGTACAAGTAGTGGAAAGCCCCTCAGACTGTGGCCAAAAGGTGGTCCGTGGGAAGTCTCTGTTATATAATTTTATGGTATAAGGACCCCTCACCTTTGAGACTTGGGGCCACTCCTTCCGAGAAGGCTGCCACTGTGTTGGTGAACCAGACGAGGGGCCCTAGCTCAAGGTAGCTGAGCCAGCCAATAAAGACCCTTTGCTTATTGCATCACAACTTGTCTTCGTGAGGTTTCTCTGGGGAGATCTCGGCCCGGTTTAACACTAGCAAGGTCCTTGTGGGGGGAACCGTGTGGTCTTGGGGATGGAAACCAGGGTGCCCACATGCAAAATTCTCTGTTGAAGCCCCGTCAGCCGTCTCTCTGACTCTCATTACACCTATCTTTAAGTCAAGCACAGCCACCCTGGAAACGATTATACTCTGGGCAATGTTCTCATTAATATTTTCCAGAAGTTAGAACAGCATCCTCTGACGTTCTGTCATGCAGAACTGGCCTTGGTGAAGGTGAGACACAGAGCTATTCTAAAACAAAAAGCCCTTGTTCCCCTTTCTGGGATTTCTCTCTTCATCACTGAGAAGGCAGCTCTGGGCAGCCACCGTTCCGTGGTCACAAATGCATGAAGGCGACGTGGGTACTGGATATTTTGAGATCTACAATTCTCTCACTGTGACCCATGTCACCTGAGCACGCGCGCGCGCGCGCACACACACACACACACACACACACACTCCTGAGTTCTCAGCCCCACTCCCATTTAGAACCTTCCTTCCTTCCTTCCTTCCTTCCTTCCTTCCTTCCTTCCTTCCTTCCTTCCTTCCTTCCTTCTCCTGGCTCTGTGCTTCCTTCCTTCCTTCCTTCCTTCCTTCCTTCCTTCCTTCCTTCCTTTCCTCCTTCCTCCCTTCCTCCCTTCCTTCTTTCTCCTGGCTCTGTGCTCTCCTTCCTTCCTTCCTTCCTTCCTTCCTTCCTTCCTTCCTTCCTTCCTTCCTTTCCTCCTTCCTCCCTTCCTCCCTTCCTTCTTTCTCCTGGCTCTGTGCTCTCCTTCCTTCCTTCCTTCCTTCCTTCCTTCCTTCCTTCCTTCTCCTGGCTCTGTGCTCCCTTCCTTCCTTCCTTCCTTCCTTCCTTCCTTCCTTCCTTCCTTCCTTCCTTCCTTTCCTCCTTCCTCCCTTCCTTCTTTCTCCTGGCTCTGTGCTCTCCTTCCTTCCTTCCTTCCTTCCTTCCTTCCTTCCTTCCTTCCTTCCTCCCTCCCTCCCTCCCTTCTTTCCTTCCTTCTTTTTTGCTTTTGGGTCACACCCAGCAGTGCTCAGGACTTATTCCTGTCTCTGCACTCAGAGATCACTCCTGCGTGGGGGACCGTATGGAATGCCAGGGATCAAATCCAGGCTGGATGCTTGCAAGGCGAGCTCCCTAGCCCCTGTGCTATCTTCCCTCCCCAGCCCAAAAGTCCTTTCCTTAGGGAGCATATCCCAATGGTCAGCTGCCCCCCACCCATCCATCCCTGCCTCCCACCAGATAAGGCCAGCTCCTCTCTGTCCGCCCCCAGTGTCGCATACGGGGCCAGAACATGCTCCATGGTCCAGGGTCCATCCCAATCCACTTCTGGGGCCTTCTCTAGATGGACAGGGAGACTCTCACGGACGCCAGAGCAGGTGCCAAACAGAGCGTAGCTCCAGAAACCAAGAGTCGATGCACTGACTCTACAAGTCCCTCTGTTTCCCCGGGGTGCACAACGCTGACCAACTACAACAGAGAGAAGCGGATGCTCCTGACCCACTGACACGAGGACGGGAGTGACCTGCAGGCCCTTGTCCCAGGATCACCGGTATCCGGGGTGGCTGCCAACGAAGGGTGCGAGGCTGGCTTTCCTGGGCTCTGGGACTGTGAGCACCCACCCCCACCCTGTGCCTTGGACACACCCCTCACTGACACAGTCCAGCAGCCGAGGCGGCTGTTGTAGGAAGGATGCTGGTGTGAGTCTGGAATGCTGCACCCGCACACCCTCATGTGTTCAGACACCCCCACCCACCCCAGCCCTTCTCCCGCACACCCTCACCCTGGTCAGCTGCTCAGACACCCCCCCCAAGACCCCAGTCCTCCAACCGCACACCCTTGCCCTGGACAGTGCTCAGATACCTCCCCCCCCAGGCCCCAGTCTTCCAACCGCACACTCTCACCTGACCAGCGGACCCCAGGCTTCCAGCTCCCAGTGGCTGTTCTCACAGTTCCCTCCCCATCCCTCGGTTGAACCCGAGCTTGTGTTTCTAGCTGGCTCTCCTGCTCCCCCTGTGCGCCCCTGGGTGTCCACCCCGCAGGCTCAGGCCCAAACCACCGCTGGGATCTGTGCCCTGGGGCAAATGGAGGCTCCGCGTTGGCTGTGGAAATCCCACACTCCCAGGTTTTGGGGGACAGAAATGCCTGGGGTGGGCTGGGGTGCAGAGGGGCTGGAGAGACTGAGGCCGGGTGGGCGGCGGTGGGGGGGTGTCCCCCGGTCCTCTGCTGCTCTGCTGCAGACACCACCAGCCCCCAGAGAAGCAGCCGGGTCTGGCCAGGGAAGGGGCCCGGACCCCCGCGCCTGCCTCTTGCCCCTCACCTTGTGCTGCAGGAAGTACTGCAGGGAGCCGATGCCACCCTGTTCCTCCGCTGTCCAGAGCACCAGGCGCAGAGTCCTCTTTGGCCGCAGCCCTGGGGAGAGGAATCAGACACAGCAGGTGACGCCTGGGGGTCACACCCGGCAGTGCCCCCTGCAGGCACGACTGCGGGGGTGCGATGCCCTGGGCCCACCCTCTCCCCAGCCTCCCCCCGAGTTCTGGGTGTGCGGGGACGGTCAGAGCAGAGCCGCAGCGTCCCCTGGGGGCCCGGAAGCACAGCGCAGGCCTGCGACCGGCTCATCAGAGGGTGCTGGGTGGGGGGAGTGGCAGGGACGGGGGTTAGCTGGGGTGGGTCTGCTCTGCCTGCAGCCTTCCCAGGGCCCCTCTCCTCACAGCCCCTCAGGCCCTGGACCACAGCCACGCTTACGGGGGGGAGGGGGGGGGAGGCGAGACTGCACCCACAGTCACAACTGCAGGAAGAGTAGCCAGAGGGGGATGAGCAGAGCTCCTCAGACTGGCCCCCAGGATGAGGGTGGGGACAGTGGGGAGGGGTGAGGGAGCGCACAGGCCAGCCCAGCACCTGGGGGCAATGCCCACACTGACGTGTCCTTGGGGCTCGCTCGTCCTGCCCTCCCTGACAATGGAGGGCTGAGGTCACTGAGTTAGGCTGACACCCTACTAAGGGGGGGGGGGGAAGGGGGACTGGAACCCTCTGACTGTGCCCAGGCAGCCACACGGCCAGTTTCCCAGTGCCCATGGCCAGCTGCTAATAACCTTGGAACCCAGGACACGTGCAGGAGCCCTTAGTTGTGCTCCAGAGATGTGCTCTCCCTCCCATGGTGAAAAAAAAAAATTCATTGTCACTGTCACTGTCCTCCCGTTGTTCATCGATTTGCTCGAGCGGGCCCAGTAACGTCTCCATTGGAGACTTTGTTGTTACTGTGTTTGGCATACCGAATACGTCACGGGGAGCTTGCCAGGCTCTGCCGTGTGGGCGAGATACTCTCGGTAGCTTGTTGGGCTCTCCGAGAGGGGTGGAGGAATCAAATCCATATATATATGTGTGTGTGCCAGATGGCCAACGGTCCTCAGGCATCTCCCCTCAAAGGAAGAGCATTCTCTGATTGGGGCGAAAGCATCATTTCTGAGCTGGGGGACAGCAAGGCAGGGGCTGGACTTCTGTCTGGTGTTGTTCAGTGGGTGCTGGGGACCACTGGGCACTGGAGTGGGGGTCAGTTACAGCAGCAATGGACTTGGCCTCACTCCTGCGAGGGGCACTGTCCTGTTAGCTCTGGCAGCACCTGGAGGCCACACTAGGTGGGTGCTGACCCCTGAGAGGCTCTTGGCCTTCCGGAGGGGGGGGGAGGACTCTCGCTCCAAATAATAATAATGCAAAATTTATTTTGATGATTGATAATTCGATACCTTTTGTAGTTGTGGGTTTGGAGTTTGGTGGTGGTTTTGGACTTTTCTCTCTCTCTCTTTCTCTCACTTTTTGCGAGGGGGTCACACCCTGCAGTGCTCAGGGGTCACTTTAGGGGTCACTCCTGGCTCTATGCTCAGGGATCACTCCTGATTGTGCTTGGGTGATTGATGCATTTGTCATTTTTTTTGTCCTTTGGGGAATATGAATACTTATGTTCTACCCCAATGAAGGAAACATGGCAAAATCCTTAACGTTTCCCATTCTTTTCTTCCAGTTTTCTTGATTGTCCTTGGGCCCCTCACCCAGAGTATCTGGGTCAGAGATTTCTGCAGAAGACACGTAAAGGGGGACAGGGTGTCACTCAGTGCTAGGGATTACTCCAGGCTCTGCACTCAGGGATCACTCCTGGCAGGCTCAGGGGACCCTAAGGGGTGCCAGGGATCGAACCCAGGTTGGCTGTGTACAAAGCAAGCCCCCTCCCTGCTGTGCCATTCTCCGGCCTCTGATTCCCAACCCCCTTAAAGGGCGACAGTGACAACTACTAAGGGGTGGACAGGCTTGGCTGGCAATCTCCCTCTGCACCCTGGGTCAGCAGAGCCCAGAACACCGGGTTCATCCAGCCCCCTGGTGTGGAAGGCCCAAGGGGTCTGTCTGACCCCAGCTGCACAGGAGCTGCCTGCCCCCTGTGCCCGACCCTGCAGCCCTGCGGGTGTCTCCCCTGCACCCCACATTCCAGTCCTGCCACCACTGGGGGTCCCTGGGTGCTGCCTGCGCCGGAGAAGTGAGCTGAGACCTGCCAGAGGGCTCCTGGGAGAGAATCAACTGGAGCCAGACACCCACTTCTGCTTATTATATAAAATGCACACAGACACACACACACAGACACACACGCAGTCACACACAGAAACACAGACACACACAGACACACAGATACACGGACACATATGGACACACAGAGACACAGACACACAGAGACACACAGACACACAGACACATACAGACACACAGATACACAGACACACACAGACATAGAGACACACAGACACATACAGACACACAGAGACATAGAGACACAGACACACAGACACACAGACACAGACACATACAGACACACAGATACACAGACACACACAGACACGTACAGACACACAGACACACAGACACACACAGACACACAGACACATACAGACACACAGAGACACAGAGACACACAGACACATACAGACACACAGACACACACAGACACATACAGACACACAGACACACAGACACACAGACACACAGACACATACAGACACATACAGACACACAGATACACAGACACACACAGACACGTACAGACACACAGACACAGACACACAGACACACAGACACACAGACACATACAGACACACAGATACACAGACACACACAGATACACAGACACACAGACACACAGACACACACAGACACACAGACACATACAGACACACAGAGACACAGACACACACAGACACACAGACACACAGACACATACAGACACACAGAGACACAGACACACACAGATACACAGACACACAGACACACAAAGACACACAGACACATACAGACACACAGATACACAGACACACACAGACACACAGAGACACACAGACACATACAGACACACAGATACACAGACACACACAGACACCTGCACCATCACTCCTTTCTTAACTAGCAGGGGACACCCTCAGGCAAGGGTTTGTGATGTCAGTGACAGAGCGCAGCTGGCTACAGCTTCTCAGGAGGGTGCGGAGACGACCTCTAGGACAAATGTCCTAGAGAGACCCAGGGGTGGCAGCCCAGGGCAGGGATGACCCTGGAAGTCTCAGCAACCCCGATGAACTCCCTGGGCTCCAACCCATGGCCTAAAATTCTGGTGAGGGACCCTGGACTTAGCGTGGCTTCACCTATCCCACAGGTCTGTCTCCAGCCCCTGGCCCGGTGTGAGGGGAACCCGGGTGGGTGGGGAGCTGGGAGCTTGTGGACCCACAGGGCACCGCCTATGCCCTGCAGAGTCCGAGGAGGCAGGTCCTGCCCCTTAGTCTGGCCTCAGAGCTCCTGGCCAGCCCAGAGGCTGCCCAAGGGGCCTGCGAGGACTCCGGGCATCCCCTGGCAGGCTGAATGCGCCCTGGGTGGCAGCTGCGTGGCAGATGACAGAGACCAGCTCCCACCTCCCACCTGTTCGTAAAATGGGTCGTGGTGGTGCCTGCTCTCCTCACACCAAGGGAGGGGCCCCCAATCATGACCAGGATTAGGGTTATCTTAGCCAGGAAGACCCCAGGAGTGGGCACTGCGGTGATAACACTGGGGCCTGCGGCGTCCGAGGACTGTCCTGGCCCGCCTGCTCATTCTCTGCTTTGCCCTCCGCCAAATGCCAGCTACAGCAACCCTCCTCCAGCCCCGAACGTGCCAGGCGGTCTCGGGTTTCTGGTCCTTCACGCCCCCTCTTCCTTCTGAGCAGAATGCCCTCCATGTTTCCATCTGAAAAACTCCTGTTCACATGCCCATCTTCAACGCCACTTTCCCTGGAAGAGCTTCGAGGGTGCCAGGGCTAGGCCAGCTACCCCCTCCCCAGAAATTATCTGGAACTTCATGCTCAAGGGCACTTTTCTTCTCAACCACATTTTGATGTCCGTCTCCTCATCAGGCCATTTTCTGAGAGTTGCTTGTTTCCTAGTATCTGATGCTTAATGAGTGCGGAATGAGTGGTTACTGGCAGCCTGGCTGCGTGAATCAATATGAAGGAATCTATTCAGAGAGCCAAAAGCTACAACCTTTCCCGTTCACCCCAGGCATGCTGGTGCCCCTGGGTCCAGAAAGGTGGTAAGAGGTATTCACTGTGTGAGGTCACAGCCTGAGCCCCAGGTGGAATCATCCAGCAGCTGGCCTGAGAACCGGGCACCCACCAGCCAGGCCAGCTCACCTGCCTCTACTGTTGTTCCGTTTACCTAGACTTGTGGCTTTGCTAAGCTGAGTGGAAATATGGCAACAGCTATTGCTGTTAAAGAAATATAGTCATTGGTTAAAGAAACTTTGGTACATTTACACAATGGAGCACTATGGAGCTGTTAGAAAAGATGAAGTTATGAAATTTACATACAAGTGGTACTACATGGAAAGTATCATGTTAAGCGAAATGAGTCAGAAAGAGCGGGATAGACACAGAAAGATTGCATTCATCTGGGGAACGTAAAGCAACAAAAAGGGAGACTAACGCCCAGGAATGGCTGAGATTAGTACCAGGAATTTTGCTCCATGACTTGAAGGCCAGCCACATGTGCTAGGTGAGAAGGAAGCTCAGATAGAGAAGAGAGCACCAAATAAAGGGTGTTGTGAGGACCCTCCCAGGGTGGGAGAAGCATGCTAAAAGTAGTCGATAGACCAAACATGATTGCCACTCAAGGCCTCTCTTGCAGAGCACAGTACCCAAAATAAGAGAGAGAGAACAAGGGGGAATGCCCTGCCACAGAGGCAGGGTGGGACGGGGGGGATGGGGGGTAAGAGGGATGCTGGGACCCGTGGTGGGGGAGGATGGGCACTGGTGGAGGGATGGGCACTTGATCATTGTATAACTGAAACCCAAGCACAAAATTTGTAAGCCTATAACTGTACCTCATGGTGTTTCACTAATAAAAAAAGAAAAA